AAATCCCTGGATTTGAAGATATTTCAAATAAGGTTCAGAGCCCTTCAAGCTGGGCCTCCCAATAAGAGTTTCAAGTGCTTTTGTCTGTACATAATTGTCCTTTCTAGTCTTTCTAGTTCATTCCAAAGCAAAATAAATCAGGTTATGATCTCCTAAAGCCCACGTTTTACAGGCTTGTGTTGTACTTTTCAAACTAAAATTCCAATTACTGTTAGTTTGCTATGAACACTCCAAATGTTATTTCCAGCTCATTTGTTGTTGTTTTTTATATTGTGAAAACTATCAGCAATTCATAATTCTCTCTCACAAATGAGATCTTACCATTTTTCACATGACATCTCGCAACCATCTCTTGAGTGAGATAGCTGAAATCTTGCAAGATTTTGGATTGTGAGGGGGGGCATATAGGGATCGTTGTACAAGGTCGTTTAGTGAAAAGGAGGCAGAGGCAGTTAAAAAAAAAAAAAAAAACCTTTCCAGTCTCTGCCCCAGATCATGCTCCTGACATCAAAACATGAGAATTTGCATGATTCTGTTCTGCTAGCGGCAATCAGCACATTTTGTGGCGATGCCCTCAGAGCACAACTCATAATTTAACCAAGTCTGAGCAGCTGGGGGGCTAAGTTGTGAGTCCAGAAATATTAATTCACATTGACAGACTTATAACATGTAAATAACAATTAGGTATGAATGTACATTCTTCTTTACATAATATGACAAGCCCAACAATTATCCATTGTCTAGCATTACATCAAGGTTTTAAAAACTAAAGCTATTGTTTACATAAAACTTGTTAACAGGTACGAATGAAGTTCGTTCTCTCAGCATGGCTGATGATGACTTATAGGGAGTGTGAGAAAGAGAAAGAAAAGATGAGGTGTCTATTTGGCAATACAAGACTGTGTCCGTCATATCACTCACAAATGAAAATTGCACAAACTAGGTCCTTAAAAAAAAAGTAAAAGAAAACTTTTTACCTTCAGGGAATATTTTGCACCTTGATTTGTCTGCAGTAAATCATGGGTGTCTGCTATCAAATCTATTGATAGGAAGGATTCAGATTGGTGAAATAGGCAACGTTTGTAATCTCTCTGTGCTATTATTTCTAATAATCCTTACTGGACTTTTGCTGATTAATATGGAGAGATGAGGCTTTAGGGATGGGATGAGGCTTTAGAGAGCATGGAGTGAGCTAATGTATGGAATGAGGGGATGTCGGACTAAAATTATAAATTGCTAATGCTGATGATAGTTGCAGGGGATGAAAGGCAAGTTTTCTTCTTTTATCTTAGAAAAGATAAAAGAAGAAAACTTATCCTTTATCCTCAGCAAATATAATCAGCATTAGCAATTTATTCCTTCAGCTCAACATCTTTTTTCTGTACTTTTTCATTGAAAAATAAAATAAAATATATTCTTGTAATATGCAGTCGTATTAGTTTTTATCCATATAATATAATCTTCAATAAAGTTACTGGGGAAAAAGACTTACACATATTTTTCCTTCTGTCATGTTAGGAAAAAAAATGTTTAAAGGTTTATGAGAGACACTCTAAAGCCCTTAGGGACACTTGTAGTTCTGAAGCTTGTGACTGTCACCTCTGCAAAAAAGTCTTCATGGTGACTTGGGAAAGGAATTTGCCTGAAGACTGTCCACTATTACTGGACTTCTTCCTGAGAAACCTGTAATGCATTTCCAAGGTGTTTCTTATGAAAAAGTGTAGATGAGAGGAAGGAGGAAATTATTGATTCCTAATTCATCATAGAGTCTTAGGCTACAATTTTCAGGCTTTCCTCAGAGACAATAATCAGCTGTATGCTTTTCTTTTATGGCCCAATTTAACCAATTCATTGATCACCATCACTATTATCTCTTTCTCCTTCATAGAAATGCAGCTGGCCTCAATTAACAAGCACTCGTTCAGTGACCATTTGAACTGGCAATACCACTGAACAAGTGATACATACAACAGGTCCTCAAAGTTCCAGCCATCTTAGTGTCTCCACAGTTTTGAAATCATGATCCAGGTGCTTGGTGCGCAGCTCACGGTTATGACATTGCAGCATCCCACTAACTACAAAAATAATTGTCAATGGGGGGAGAGGGGAGGAGATCACAAAAGGTGACCATGCGATGTCCTCGCTTAATGACCGCATTGGATTCACTTAACAATGAAAAACAGAAGTGCCAACACTGAGCAGTGCGGTCATGTGACATCATACTTTAAGCGTCACTTAGCAACAGAAATTCTGGTCCCAGTTGTCACAGTTACCTGAAGAGTACCTGTATTTAACATTATTTTCCTGCCAATTGTGTGATTGTCCATCCACCTTTTGTTTTCTTCATCCTCTCTCATAATCTTGGTGGTGGTATGAGAAGACAATAGAGCAGGGGTGTCAAACTCAATTTAATTGAGGGCCGGATCAGGGTTGTGTCTGACCTCAGAGGGGCATGACGTTACTTGTTTTCAGAGGTGCCTGTGGTGGCCTGAGTGCTCGGCCAGCAAAGACAGTTGCAACAGCCTCCTGCAACCTTCTGCCAGCGGAAAATGGAGCTTGGGGTGGCCATGCGCAGCCCACAGGAGCTCCGTTTTTGTTGCCAGAGGCACCACGGGCCAGTCCTTCACTATTTCCAGGGTGGCCCCGGGGGTCAGATCTAAGCACCCCATGGGCTGGATCTGACCCCTGGGCCTTGAATTTGATACCCCTGCAATAGAGCAAAGCAAGTACACAAAGATCTTTGTCACAGAAGTTCACACTTATTAAAGAGTTGAATCAGCTCCCTAAAAAGATTTTGCCATCAGTGAAGCTCCCTTTGCAGCAAACCACTAGTCGTTTTGTGTCTTTTAGTTAGTCGCTATATTTACAAAGATCTGCAGCAACTTTCCACATGCCTGCAAACCTCAATGTTTGTTTTAGCTAGGGCTATTACTGGTGCAGAGATATGTCCAGTTTTCTTCTCTCAGGGATCTGAGGCTACCACCTAAGACTGAATTTTCAGTCTTCATTTCAGCTTTGTATCAAAAAGAGGAAGGCCCTTTCTCTGTGTTGCAGGAGACAGAACTGCCAAGGGTCAACTCTGTGAATAGGGAAATTATTTGCTTAATGGTGGTTGAAGTTACCACAGCAACCAAAACATCAACCTGCGCCTTTGTTTCTGATAACAAGTTTAGCCTGAAACTTCCCAGGGCAAATTCTTATCTGTTCTTTCTTTTCCCTCTCTCTCAAAATAACTCTTGAGTTAACTCACACTAAAGAAATGAATTGCTCCCAAATTCCATTTGAGCAGGATTTGAAATGCAAACATGAGCCACCATAGGCCTCGGTCTTTGTTGCGTCTTTCCTGTGTCAGGAAAAAAATAGCCTTTAAAACTCCTTGAATGGCAAAAAATAACAAAGGAAGTCCCCCCTCCTCTCACAGAAGTAAACATTAACTCTTTGTAACAAGAATGCACACAGTGAAGCTGCTATGAAAAGTGCCAGGGGCTAGTTCTAAAACCTCAGCAATTCTTTCAATGTAATTTGAAGGACAGTAAAACAAGGAGATCCTACAAAACGTCTTTTTGGCTACCCCCATGAGATTTGTAGGGTGCTTCCTTTGGCTTGATGCATCATACCTGCCGGTTCCTGAAGAAATACATCTTGAGTTTTCCTCATAAGGTTTAATTCCCAAACTCGCCATCCAGCAGATGAAAAACAAATTAAACAGAGTGACTAGGTGGCTATATTATATTAAGCCACAATGTCCTTGTTTGGCTGTGGCTTAATGTGTGTGAACCCCACCATTGCTTATGGATAAGAAGGTAATCTATGAATCTACCATTGTAGCTTAGTTTAATGAATGAACCATGCTTAAAATATATCCAGCCAATCCATTCATACTTATGTTATCAGAATATAGTCTACAATTCCTTTTTTCTCTAACAGTCTGCTTTGAATCTATAAAGACAATGCAGGGATCTAGGATTATAAAGAATCTCTTCCAGATTAAATATCCAGGAAGAAGGTTTGGTTACTGCTGCACCAAAATAGTTCATCTGCTGCTTTGGCCAATGCAAATTACACTAAAAGAACATATCTTTGCTGTGCTGTTTGCTCTGCAAACATATATTGCGTTTGGAGGCCTAGGATTAAATCTTGCTCTGTTGCTGTATCAGAGTATCTAAAAACCTTTCAGATCGAGGTGGTGACAAACATCAATGAAATGACCCATGGTTACCTCCCTTCAATAAGGGGGAACAAAATCCCACCGATTGGAGTATACAAACACAAAAGGAGAAAGCAAAATATAAATTATTAACCATTGAAATGAGGACAAATTGAAGTACTGTATTTGTGTTTATCTAGGGTATATCCCTTTGATGCAGAGATTACATTACCAATAATCCAGTGCGACACAGCCCAGATTTTTGTTTCTGTGTATCCTGTTCATGGCTGGAAGGGGATAGGAACTGTTGTTCAACCTATTTGGGAGGATATCAACCTGATGTAGATTTTTGATTATTGGATCTTTTTAATGTATCTTTTATAAAAAAAAAATCCTCATAAAGAGCATATCTGAGTGAAGACCCTGATCAAAGATGCTGGATTTGCACCATTCAACAGGTTTTTCTTCCCTTTCGATCTCATTATTCTTGGTTCATCCTCCCCAATCTCTCTCTCTCTCTCTTTTTAATATAAAGCAAGGCATTATCATAATTTCTCCTTGATCCTTGTGTATTTTCTTTACTCCCAGGGCAGGAATAAAAGACTGTAAGACCTTAACTTTATTTTGCTTGGGGCCAAGGTAGACAATAGCTGATAAGAAAAGGGCAAGGTGTAAGGGAGTGGAGCTGATAGCGTTTCCCCAGCTGCCTTTCTTCTCCACTGAGCTCAACAGGTCTAAGGCAGTGGGCCGGCAGCCAGACACACCCAATTCTTCCAGGCAGTAAAATGATCCTTTCTCTGCCCCCAAGCCAAGCCCAGCTCTTTTCTAATAGATAAAAAGGAAAGGAAGTGCCAGCCTGCAGGTTCAGAAGGACTCCCCTGAATCTACACCTTGCTGTTCTTCCTCTCCTCATCTGCAGACTCCTTCTGTTTAAGCTCCCCTGAATCTACACCTTGCTGTTCTTCCTCTCCTCATCTGCAGCTGCCACCCCCTGCTCGAGCAACCATGGCGCAGCTGACTTCATTCAGTTCTCGTTCAGCAACTGCCCCTTCTAACTTTTCCCAGATCCGGATCAGCTCTGTTTCTTCATCGCGTGGAATCAGAGGGGGTGGAAGCTTTAAGAAGCCCAGTGGTTTTGGTAGCGCCAGTTTGTATAACCTGGGCTCCAGCAACAGGAGGATTACCCCGTCCTACCCTATCTCACCTTCGTTTGGATATGGCAGTGGTATTCAAGAGGTCACTATTAATCAGAATCTCTTGTCCCCACTCAACCTGGAAATTGACCCCACCATCCAAAAGGTCCGCAAGGAGGAGAAGGAGCAGATCATGGTCCTCAACAACAAATTTGCAACCTTCATTGACAAGGTGAGATATGAGCTTTTTTGTGATATCAAAAACTTTCTATAGGCCTTAGTCGTGAGTTGCAACTCTACTCCTTGGGATGTTTCACTGTTTTTTTCTACAAAGCTAGGGATTCCTTCAGGCTAACTTCTTAAGCTGCATTCAAGGGGATGCTTGATTTTCACTCAGATAACCTGGATTTAAACTGTGATGGCTCAGTGACTCTATATTTACCAGGGCTGTTTTAACAGCATTATGGGCTGCGGGCAAAGCATTGTACTGGGGCCTCTACAACAACTACTCACAAGGAGAAGTTGTGATAATGCCTTGCTTTATATTAAAGAGACAGAGAGATCGAGAGAGAGAGAGATCGGGGAGGATAAACCAAGAATAATGAGATCGAAAGGGAAGAAAAACCTGTTGAATGGTGCAAATCCAGCATCTTTGATCAGGGTCTTCACTCAGATATGCTCTTTGTGAGGGTTTTTTTTTTTTTTTTGTATAAAAGATACATTAAAAAGATCCAATAATCAAAAATCTCTCATGCTGTCAAGAATGGAGGCCGATATATTATACACACAGGGAGAAAAGGAGAGAGAGATCTCCAAGAGTTCAAAATTATTCAGGGGGTCATACACATGAGTGCACATATCTGAAATAATTAGTAATTATACTTGATATGTACTGTAACATTTTTGCTTGGCTCTTGAGTGGCCAAAATGTCTTGTTTTTACATTTGTGCACCTGCTGTTGCAATGTATTTGAGTTAATGCAGTTCTTGACAAAGGGAGGGGGGGAAGTATAGATCTTGTCCCATGATGATTTTATGTCCATATATACCCTTGCTCACCTTTTAATCTCTTCTGCATTTTATCTGCTTGTTCCTGGGAGTAGCTATACCGAATTCTATGGGGTTGGCTTCTAAGTAATCATGCTTAGGAGCATATTGTCAGATACCTAGAGAAAGATATCCCATAAGTATTCATTATGGCATCTATATACTGTGATGCCATTTGTGCTACTTGCCCAATAGTTCTGGGTTGGGTTGGGTACTTAGCCAAAAAGCCAAAACTCTGAGCATACAAAATAATTGTCCACGTACAACCGTTTATTAAGGTATCATTTGAAGTCACAATGACGTTAAAAAAATGTTACTTATAATTGGTCCTCACACTTATGACCATTGCAGAAACCCAACAGTCATGTAACCAAAATCCAGGAGATTGACAACGGTAGCAATAAAAGGAGAATATTTGTAGCTCAGGGTTGAAATGGGGAGTCCTTAGCGTCTTTCTGAGCTTGGCAATGGGCACGTACAACTGCAACATAACTATAGTCATGCTTGTCGTTTGCAACCTTCACAGGTGCTTCCCTCCGACAAGCAAAGTCAATGGGGAAAGCTAGATTTGCTTAACAACTGCATGATTCACTTAACAACTGCAGTGATTCACTTACCAACTATGGCAAAACAGATCATAAAATAGGGCATGGCTTACTTATTGACCCCTTTGCTTGGCAATGGAAATTCTAGTCCCAATTTGGGTTGTAAGTTAACGTGCCTCCTGAAATGTTATAGCCCCTATCAATGTAGCTGATTCATTGAAACATTAGAGAACAATGTGCGTGTTTGAATGAATCTCTGTGAAACTGACCAAGAGGTTTCTTTGTTGGAAAGCCAAGTCTGTAACCCTCCCACCTCTTAAACTGATGAAGAGAAAATGCAGTAAAAGGCAATGCAAGCATTCCTAAAGCTCAGAAACTGTCAGCCATGCAAAAGCTAAATAAATACCAGAAGTTCAAAAAAAAAAAAAAAAAAAAAGCTTGCAAAACATGCAACTAAACTCAGGCATGTATTTCATGCTGGCTAAAAGGCTGGCTTTAGAACCAATCTGCTAAAACAAAGATTTATCCAGTGAGGGTTTCCCCCCACCCCTCCTCTTTGAAGCTTCCCTTCCTCCCTCCTTCTCTAGCTACTTAATATTGACAGATAATTCATTCTTTTACCCTCTTCTCTGTATCTGAGAGCTGGGGGCTATTCGAGCTAGTCGTTTTCTTCGGATTTTGTAGCATTTCACATTGTGCTGGAAAAACAGCTGTTCTTTAAAATGTGCTTGTGGGTATTTCTCAGGTCCGATTCCTTGAGCAGCAGAATAAAATGTTGGAGACCAAATGGAGCCTCTTGCAGCAGCAAAGGACCTCTCCTCGGAGCAACATTGCCCCCCTCTTTGAGTCATACATTAACAACCTGCGGAGACAGCTAGACAGCTTGTACAATGACAAAGGGCGGCTGGAAGGAGAACTGAAGAACATGCAGGATCTTGTGGAGGATTTTAAGAACAAGTAATGTATTCATAACGGTTTTTGTGACATCTGGGAGGTTTCTGGTGCCTCTGTGCAAAGCATCCCAGGTTTTCCTTTAGGGGGAACAGTGTCTAGAAGAGGGTCTAAAAAGTGTGTGGCCTTTGAGTGTGTGTGTGTGTGTGTGTGTGTGTGTGAGAGAGAGAGAGAGAGAGAGAGAGAAGTTCATTGCAAATTCCAGTTGGCCCTATAGAGACTCATTCTCAAACAAAGGTGTGTTGAATTGCAAATAAGCAATATGAACTCATGGATGGTTGAAATAAGCCCTGGAGAGGTTAGTAGAGTATAATTGGGCTGAGATTATTCTCCTGCTATTTGAGATTTGGAAAACTCTACTGTCTGTCTGTCTTCCTATCTACAGTCATTATCTATCCAATTTCTAAACTGCCCATCTCCCTCAAATAGAGGCTATTTTTATTTCTTGGCGATCTGCATTTTTGCAACCTAGATCTGGTAATTCTACTCTTGGAAGAAATGTCCATCTGGGTTCAGTTCCAAGTGGGAAGAAAGACACTGGAAACATGGAGGTTGCTTGGAAAGATGGTATTCATGGTGGACAGCAGAGCCACATGATTTGAGGTCCTGGGCAAAAAAAAGCACATGGGCGAGAGAGGGAGAGAGATTTATAACCTCTGTTGGGCTTTGAACTTGCTTCATGTTCCTGTGGCAAGAAATGCATCCTGATTGGTTGTCAGACTCCCATGGGGCCATGCAGGGGTAACTTTGTAGGTTGCCTTGATTCCCAGGCTTGGTTGAATCTTGCTGGGTAATGTAATCTTCCCAGATGCCATGTGATGAGATGGGTAGAGGGCTAATCCTATCATGTCCTAAGGGCCATGTCTTAATCCCATCACCCTGGAGCTGAAGGTCTTTTGTGTTGTAGATAAGATGTCTTTTGGGGGCTATTAACAAAGCTGGGGGCCGCTTTCCAAGAGCATGTTTCTTCTTTTCTCATCCAGGAAGATATAATATTCTGCCTTTTAAATATTTCCTAGAATATTTCATTCTTCTAGGAGAGGGATGGGTGCTAACTTTCTACACTACTTTGATCAGCCTCTCCCAACTTGCTGCCTTTAAGTTGTCATGGTATTTAGGAAGTCTGAGAGTTGTAGCCCCTCTAGGGACGGCATTTTTCATTGCATCCTGCTAACCCATTTAAGCCCCTTTATCACACCAAAGGGTAATTCCCAGGATTCTTTGTGAATGATAATTTTTTATTTGATCTTGGAAGAAATCTATACACAATTGAAATTTGGAGTCAGTGACATATTCTTTATTCTTCTATACTTGTATCAAAGGAATATTAATATTGTTCAGAGAAGGATGAGAAATGAGTGTTTGAATTGCTCTCATTATATTACTATTTCCTTGCAAATGGAATAGCCTTAATCTAACAAGATGTTTTTTTAATCATTGAAAGAAACAAGGTTGAACTGTTCACACAACACATCCTTTCCCTTGTGAATTGTCTAATCTTCTGTGCAAAATATATGAAGCAGATACAGAAAGGCAAGCCATTCTACTCCTGGCAATGGCTGAAAAAAGGGGCCATATATTTATAATTGTTTTGCCTATAGACTGTTTTTATCCAATCAAAGCAACAATGACTTCTAAACTACAGGTACTAGATATTAAAGTTATGCATGATTCAAAAATTACTTGGAAACAACATGCCCAATCCCAGGACATCTTTGTTATTCATTTAAGCAGTTTGGTTGGGTAGGGTTGTGTTGAGTCAATATTGGCGAGAGACCACAAGGAAGGTAATTACTGTAGAATCTGGAGTACAGTCAACTTCAGAACCATTTGAAATGTAGCAGTTGCAAGGACCAAGAATATTAGCAATGTAGAATTATGTGAACCATAGATACGGAATAATATGCACTTCTTGGCTGCTTTCATCAATAGCTGGAAATAGCAGATGAAGAGAAATTAGGGGTCAATCACATAATGCCTAGGATCCAAACATAGGCCCTGTTAGTAAAATAAATAAAATGAAACACAAAATTTGAGAACATTAGGCCAACATTCCCATACATACAAGATTCAAGTAGTTTAAAGGGTTTCAGTCCAGAGAAATTTAGGTGAAGCATTTCTGCTTATTGAATTGTTACTGCTTAGGCTCAAACCCCTAGAAAGTTTCATGACATTAATGTTCATGGATTATGGATTCTTCCAACATTATGGATTCTACCTGCAATGGTGAAAGAAATGAATAACCAAAAGGATTAGTGTATAACTAATGAAGAACCAAAGAAATGAATAACCAAAAGGATTAATGTAGGGAATTTGGAAAAACTTGATCTGTTAAACTGGAAAGAGGATGGTAGGGATACAACATATGGAGTGGCATATAGCTGTAAATATTACTGAAGGTTAAAGATTGTCAGACAGGTTTTTTTTTAAGGCTCAAGCTATTTAGAAATGGCATGTGTAATACTACAGCTATATTATAGCTGTATTATAGTTGCACGTGACAGAAATGTTGGTTGTTAGGTTAAAATATACTAGAATAGTTGTGGTTGAGTATGACGTGCACATAGCCATTAAGATCTCCAGCCTGTTTAACCTACTAATTATGAACACTTAAGACTGGTTGTTTCTGGCCAAAATGGAATTTGTATGACACAGCCCTCTTTGAATAGTACCATTTGCTGATTTGCGGGGGGGGGGGGATCTGATTTAAATCCTTCAGGAGACAATATTAAAATACTTCTGCCTGATGCTCACACATCTCATAACAAGGGGCTTTCCAGCAAGTGTGCAGATAACTGTAATGGTTTAAAGATTCGCTTGCAAAAAAAATTCCTCAGGCATAGAGTTTCTGGAGGTGCAGAAATGTGGGTGTTGAACAATTTGTTTCATCTGCCTGAACTCTGCATGTGTACTTTATGGGCAGAGACAGAGAATGCTTTGTGTACCTTTCTACCACATATCCTTGATTTAATGGTGTGAACTTCCTGGAGCTGTTTTATGTGTGGTGTTCTGTAGTCTGGAATGGAAAATTGATAGAATCCAAAGGGGTTGTCATATACTTAAAGCACAGTATTAGCCTAGATAGCTGGTCATCCTCTTTTAGCTTATGCATTGTTTACAAATCTGATGCAGTCTTAAACCAAGATTGAATAAAGCAACAAATAAAGCCACTATTGCAAAGCAACCCTTATAATGAGAAGTATCCTTATAATTTGATCCATGACCATCCAAGTTATATTAATATACAAACATTCCACAGTAATTTTACTGCTGAAGTGTACCTTTATACGTAGCGATATTTTGCAATCCGGTTTGTGACATTAGCAGATAATTTATATTAAAGTCACATAAGCCTAGGAAAATATTTGTTTAAGGGAAAAACCAACCATCTTCATTCAGGCACAGTATGGAACAATTGGTTCAATAGATTCTTCATTGGTTCTACTTGGGCATAATTTTTATAATATAGGGGTTTTTATTAAAGCTGCCCTTTGAAAGTGTTGATAGTAAGGCATTAAAACAGGCTTTAGAAAAGTCCCACTAATACGTAGAATATGAATGTGAGAATAAATATGGAGTGATGGTGGAGAGGGAGCCACTGTGTTCTCTAAGGCAGGGGTCTCCAACCTTGGCAACTTTAAGACTTGTGGACTTCAACTCCCAGAGTTCCTCAGCCAGCAAAGCTGGCTGAGGA